CATGGTCAAGTCAAGTCAAGTCACCTTTATTTATATAGCGCTTTTAACAATACAGATTGTGTCAAAGCAACTGAACAGCATTAATTAGGAAAATAGTGTGTCAATAATGCAAAATGACAATAGTAAACACTAATTTTCCAGTTAAAGACAGTTCATCATTGAATTCAGTGATGTCTTCATTCAGCTCAGTTCAGTTTAAATAGTATCTTTGCAATCATTTGCAATCAAGTCAACAATATCGCTGGAAATGAAGTGTCCCCAACTAAGCAAGCCAGAGGCGACAGCGGCAAGGAACCAAAACTCCATCGGTGACAGAATGGAGAAAAAACCTTGGGAGAAACCAGGCTCAGTCGGGGGGCCAGTTCTCCTCTGGCCAGACCAAACCAGCAGTTCAATTTCAGGCTGCAGCAAAGTCACATTGTGCAGAAGACTCATCTGGTTCCTGTGGTCTTGTCCCGGTGGTCGTCTGAGACAAGGTCTTTACAGGGGAATAACATCTGTATCTGGTGTTCATCTAGTTGTCCTGGTCTCCGCTGTCTTTCAGGGCTGTAGAGGTCCTCTCTAGGTGCTGATCCACCATCTGGTCTGAATACGTACTGGATCCGGGTGACTGCAGTGACCATCTGATCTGGATACAGACTGGATCTGGTGGGTTGTTTCAGGGTTGGCATCATCTGAGGTCCTCTGAGGGGTTGGCATCATCTCTTCTCAGGTGTTCTGGATCCAGACTGAAGCTTGTGTAAATCCTAGTTTACCACGGGATGTCAATCCCGTGGCAAAAACAGAGAAACAAATAGGGACATAATTAGCGTAGCTGCTGTTCCAACCAAGCAAAATTGATTTGTTTAGCCCAAACTAAAGAATAATAATGTGCATTTGATCAGATATAACTGCAGTACAAGATTATGATATGCATTATTTGAATGCTTGGCCAAAGAGATGTGTCTTTAATCTAGATTTAAACAGAGAGAGTGTGTCTGAACCCCGAACATTATCAGGAAGGCTATTCCAGAGTTTGGGAGCCAAATGCGAAAAAGCTCTACCTCCTTTAGTGGACTTTGCTATCCTAGGTACTACCAAAAGTCCAGAGTTTTGCGACCTTAGGGAGCGTGATGGATTGTAGCGTGGTAGAAGACTAGTTAGGTACGCAGGAGCTAACCTATTAAGGGCCTTATAGGCAAGTAATAATATTTTGTAACTGATACGGAACTTAATAGGTAGCCAGTGCAGAGACTGTAAAATTGGGGTAATATGATCATATTTTCTTGACCTGGTAAGGACTCTAGCCGCTGCATTTTGGACTACCTGTAGCTTGTTTATTGAAGATGCAGGACAACCACCTAGCAGTGCATTACATTAGTCCAGTCTAGAGGTCATGAATGCATGAACTAGCTTTTCTGCATCAGAAACAGGTAACATGTTTCGTAGCTTGGCAGTGTTTCTAAGATGGAAGAATGCTGTTTTTGTAACATGGGAAATATGATTTTCGAAAGGCAAGTTGCTGTCTAATATAACACCCAGATTTTTGACTGTAGAGGAAGTAACCGTACATTCGTCTAGTTGCAAATTGTAGTCCATGAGATTCTGTGTACTGTCTTTTGGTCTAATAAGTAATATCTCTGTCTTATCCGAATTTAATAGGAGAAAATTATTGGTCATCCAATCTTTTACATTTTTAACACACTCTGTTAGCTTAGATAATTTAGAAGTTTCATCTGGTCTTGTTGAGATATATAGTTGAGTATCATCAGCATAACAGTGGAAACTAATCCCGTATTTTCTAATAATATTACCAATATTACCAATGTCTAAACAAATCCCATTGAAAACCACACATTTTGTACATATATTAACTGTTTTGACTACTAAATGTAAAAGTAATTGATTTAAGTAAGCAGTCTAAAGTTGGGTCTATCTAAGTAGCTTACCCAGACTTGTGGTGATGAGCTGAAGTAGTTCTATTTATATATGAGCCTTTATTTGTTTGGATTTTATTAATATTTTGTTTAAAATTTAATTTTATCTTCACCTGTTGCTCATAGTGGTTTGATGATGTTCTGGACTGATACTGAAAGTTGATTGGCTTGAATGTTTTACCTCTTGATTGGTTTTGTATATGGACTGGGGATGCAACTCTGAAGCAAACAGCATTGCGTCATTTCAATATCCATTCTGACTGGTCGTTTAATAGACAAACCTTCATGCTTGTCAGCCTTTTTTGTTGATCTGAAAGATTATAACGTGTCATTAATGATATGGATTAATGCTTGCCATTTGTGGTGAAAATGCTTCCTGGAGTTTCTAGCAGATTTGAAGAGAAGATTATGCACGAATTTGTCATTAACGTTTGTCGCCACCTACTGGTGAAACAATGTTACTTGCAGAAAGATTCACTGAATGAATCAATGAATGAATCTGAATGAATCTTTTCAGTGAATGTGTTTATAAGATTTGACTTACTTATGAATCAAAATATCCTCGACTAATTAAAAAATTGCAAAACCATTACATAATGCAGCTTTAAGACTTAAATCTGATTCTGACTCAAATCACAGAAACAGACACTTCTTCTCTGTATAAATATGAGAGTGGCCTTAAAGACAGACCAAATTATGTAAATATTAGTAAAACAAGGAATGTGATAATGAATCAAATTATCACTGCACTCAGCTCACAAATTACATAATTATAAAATATCAACTCTTCACCTTTTTCTAAATGACTTCCCCTAAAAGAAAAAGTGACACCATTATGTGTACACCCACCCACCCACACACACACACACACACACACACACCTGAATTTGCTCTAATTCTTTTAATAGTGTAGCAAATGTGGCCAAGCTGAATTACTGGCACCAGTTTGATGACTGAACATAATAACAGAGCTAGCTGTTGCTTGTGACCACATTGTGGCCATTAAGAAAAATGACTTGAGGCATCAGTCACTCCCGGAAATCTATTAAAAAGTAATTTCAAGTAAATGTTTTTGCAGATGTAGTGAACATTAATGTTTACCTATTAATTTATCATATCTGTCTACAAGTTCACTTCTTTTTTATCTCTGATTGAATTTTCCTCAGGTTAAACTTCAAAAAGCATCTTTTAATTCATTTCAAGATCATTGCATTTACTTCTGTGGAATGATAAGATATGTATTTCATAAATGTATTCTATTTCCACTGCCAAACAACAAGTAAGCTGACTCACTGTTTATCAAGTGCCCATTTCCTGTTTGTTAGTGAATATTAAGTTATTACAGCTTCTCTGTCTCTGTTTATTTTTTTCCTTCTACCAGCATCCATCATGAATCCCATGTCACATCTATTCTACAAAAAGAGCAGCTACTCTCCGTACCGGGACCGAATCCCTCTACAGATCGTCCGGGCGGAGGTAGAGCTTTCCCTAGAGGAGCGTTCCTTCCTTTCGGCCGTGGAAAAGGGTGACTATGCAGGGGTCCAGCATGCACTACGTGAGGCGGAGGTCTACTACAATATTGACGTCAACTGTGTGGATCCATTGGGCCGCAGTGCGCTACTAATCGCTATTGAGAATGAGAACCTTGAGGTGATGGAGCTGCTTCTGGATCACGGAGTGAACACTGGAGACGCTCTGCTCTACGCCATCCGCAAAGAAGTGGTGGGAGCTGTAGAGTTACTGCTGTCCCACAGGAAACCCAGTGGAGAAAAACAGGTCTGTATGTGTGTTGGGGTTTTATATGCTTTTCTCAGCTGAAAAGAGACACTTTGCATTAGTATTAATTTCTATCGTGGTCCAGGCTGGTTCATGCTTTCTAGTCTAGACTTGGTCTGACATTGTTGGATAAGTTAGTTAAGAAGCCTGAGAGGGATACCAGCGCAACATATGCTGGTGACCAGCCATACTGAACTTTTAAGCTGGTTTACACTGCGTATGACCAGGTGCAATGCAACAAATTTCTCCATAAGGAAATTGACTATAACTTGACTATAACTTAATTATAACTTATGAGCTTGAAAGTTGTTAATCAATGATATATTCTTTTGTTGAAGCCATTGTTTTGAATGATTTAAACTTATTTTAACAGCAGAATTCCTGGTGAAAAACTACATTTCCCATGATGCTGTAAAGAAAATTCCAACAATCAGAGAGCTATGGTGAGCAAATTGTGGCAAAAGAGCAGGAAACCACAGTGAAGCACCGTGAATGATGTAGTCAAGTCTTACAGTAATACGCCCCCCAAAAAATACTTTGATTTTTTATATATACATATATCTGGGGCGTTTCCTCTGAGGTGCCTCCTCAAAATATTGGATGATAAAAAAATTTGTAGTACAAAAATAAAACAATACAAATATTACATTATAATCTATTATAGTCTATCTAGTCTATACTCATTGTAGTCTATCTCGCCTCCCCTGAGCCTATTTTTAACAGACCCCTTAAGCATGCAGTGAGACTGATGGGGTAATTGAGAATGAATGGAGGAAAGTCAAATGAGAGTAGGCAATGCCTCCATTGCGATATGATTGGATATGACTGGTTATGATCGGCTATGATTGGTTCATGTGATAGATCCAGCCTCTTGTGTTTGTGCACGCTCCACTTTCACGAATGGGAATACTAAATTGAAAAAAGTAAGCAAGCAACTCACACACTTAGATATAATCACTTTGTTACATCAAAATAAGACTTGAAATTGCCTGAAAACTTGATCTGTGGGAGTTTTTAGCGAGTAATCAGCTTGGTAAAATTTTATTTAAATCTCTGTGTCTGTGACCAATATTTACCTAGCTTTGATGACTGATGATCCGAAAAATTTAAAAATAGTAAAAAGTTAAGTATTAAAAAGCATAGCTGAACATAAGTTCACGAATAAAAGATACTGTTGAAATTGTTACTGAAAATGCTTATTGTAGCTGGTTAGAACGAAAGGACTTTAATGATTCAGTATATCAGCCCTTCCTCAAATAGTTATGATTCAATTAACTTTTAAATTTTGACTGTTTCTTTAAAAAGAAGAACTGATTCAAGTATAGAGGACAACGCTATAACCTTTGTCTTTGTATTCTTTCGTGTCTGTAAGCTCATAATTCAGCTAAACCATAATTCCTCTTGCTGTGGCGATGTACATTTGTTTGCAAAACAAGAACGCTTTCGTGGTGTGGTTCTTTAGTACAGCATATTATCCACATCAGTGATAGAATGAACTTTATGATCGTCAGAGGCACTGAACGTCAATAAAATAATTTGATACAAGTACTTTTATAAAAAATAGAACTTATTCTGAATAACAACCAGTTCTTGATTCCCAACCCTGCACACCTGGTTAGGACACACAGTGCATATAAATATAGTGCTTGCATATGTATTTTGTCGGTGTCTTCCTACTTATGCAATGCCATATCGCTGTTTGTGTGAATAGTGTGTATGCAGGTGGGAACTGTTCATATTTGTGGTTGTACTGTATGTGCATGTGTTCAGATGAGTGGGTGTTCCAAAGCTAATAGAAAAGATGAGATGGCAGAGATTTATCTTTCAGATTTGATTTTCACCTCACGTAGCACGACAAATCTTTATTGGATTGCATTTTGTTATCCTCTAATCTTTCCCCTCATTCAATGGTAATATTAACCTGAAAAGCTTGCATTCCTGTATTCTCATAGACTGAGTTTTGCGGCATGCTTGATTTGGTGGCCAGCGGAGGATGAAGGGGAATGTAACTTCAAGCGAGTTCCGCTAACATACACTGAAAAAGGGCATGTGACAGCAGTATTCACTGTGAACCGAGGTTCGATTTGTACAGCATGCTGCCAGAAGGAAGCTACTGCACACAAAAGCTATCACTATGAATTTATCAGTGCTTGAGGTTGTGAATGCCCTTTTTTAAGGAGTAGAATCAATGATGCATATAGAATCACTCTCATCTACAAGTGAATAGCTGATGTAAAGCCAAGCAGGAAATGCAGATTCTGCAGAAACTCATTAAATTATTTTTTAAATCGTTTTTTCACAGCAATTCCGTTGAAAAGCCTTCACAGTTCTTCTTCACTTAAAAAATATAATTATTTTGCTTAACTTTATTCAGTTGTGGAGAGTGGTTCTCTAACATTAAAGTAATTTGAAAACTTGTGGCATTTAGTGCTTGAGTTTCATCGTTGCCTCATTTAATGTAACTCATTTACAATTTCTCTGTAGACAGTTCGGTTCTCAACTCTGTAAAGTTAGCATGTGTGATCTGAACAATCAAATCTATTTATACTTTATCAAGTCATATATGTTCTCTCTGGACAAAGTGCTCAACAGTTCCACTTTTCACCATAAAAACACCACTCTAACATAAACTCTACTGAGTCCCCTAATAACTGATCATTAAACACTAAAAAGCCTCCAACTTTTCTCATTTTGCACAAAACACATTAAATAAAGCTTTATTTCATCATTTACTCTCCCCAGCCAGTCCCATGCAAAGCCTGCTGGAAAGTCTGCCCAGTTTCAGTTATGCAGTGTTACTGCCAATGAAAAATATTAATGCTAAGGATTATTGGATTGAGTAAACTTGTGTTTTACAAATTTAGACAGATTGCATGGAGTAAAAATAAATTGTGATTGTTCAAGAGCTGTATTGCATTAGCGTATTTTAATTATGTAAATTGAGCAAGCAGGGGTTTTTGTGTGTTTAATGGAATATCATTTTTTTTACATAATGTCAAATTATTCTTTTAAACTAATATTGGCTGTTCAATGTGTCCCACCCTAATTTCCTATTTCAATAGAAAATAAGTCAACACAGGAAATAAATCTGAGCTCTTCTAGTAATTTATGAGGTCTTTAAGAGTTGTGGTGCTGCTGGCTTGCATGCTTACAAGTGTATTATGTACTGTGAACAGAGTTATTTACTATAAACACATTTTCGGTTTGCTTATAAACACTGAGGGAGGAGTTAAAATCATTGTTTGTGGTTATCAACAGGATGCTACACATCTGGTACATAAGCATTATTTTAAGAAACTGTGATTTCAGCGAGTTCCAGATTTTACATAGTTCACATACCATACATAAGTAAACAAAATGTCCCAAAAATGTTGGCATTTTATGCCTTTATTTGGACAGGACAGTAAGTGGGCAGGAAGCAAAGTGGGAGAGAGGGAGAGGGGGACGGGATCGGGAAAGGTCTGTGAGCCGGGACTCGAACTCGGGATTATATATGTCTTGCGCTGCCCACGAGGCTATCGGCACCAACTTATTTGGCTTTTTAAACTATGGATTGTTGTTATATAGTTATTTCCATTTTATATATTACACTGGTTAAACATTTTATAAATATATACTGGCATATATTTTGCTGGTTAAAGCAGTGTTTCCTAATGGAGATTTGTGAACCCTTGGGGGTTTGTGAGTTGATGAAAAACGAATAATGAAATTCAATGTAAAATTAAAATAAATAAAAATGGCTGAACAATTAATTGAAATAAAACTGAAATCATGTTAAAGCTGAGTGTGATTATCAAATCAAAGACTGCAATGTATTTGAAATAAGTTTAGAGTCTGTTGCATTAAAGGGCACCTATTATGCCCCTTTTTACAAGATGTAATATTGGTCCCCAGAATGTGTCTGTGAAGTTTCAGCCCAAAATACCCTACAGATCATTTATTATAACAAATGTCATTTTTGGGGTGTGTCTAAAAAAGAGCTGTTTTGGAGTGTATCGCTTTAAATGCAAATTAGCTTCATATTCCCGCCCCATCTCCAGAAGAGGGCGTCGCGTATACGTCTCTCTGCATTGCATATCTACAGCAATAAACAGCTGGTAGAAGCAACATAACTGAGAGCGAGAGAACCGGTGTTTAGCCTTACATATGGGAAGCCAAATGCATTGAAAGTGGGACAAAACAGCGCGATGTTACAGATCTCGCGCTGTGCTGACCTGTCATCGGCGCGGATCAATTGACCGAGCTGCACGGCCACGCTACCGAACGAATCTCGCGCAACGAACAGCGCGAACTAATCTCACAAGCGCGGCGCTGATCAGTAAAAAAATACTTAATGTACGCACACAAATACGGTTAAAACGCTAAGCACTATAACGACATTACATTCACAGAGGAGTCTGGAGTGATACACGTATTTAGGTAGATTTTGAGGCGCATTACCTTGAAAAATTTAAGTAATCCACAGTGTCCTCAGCAGCTCAGATGTTGGGAGAAAATTAAGACTTTTATGTTCAGTCTTACATCCAAACACAGAGCATCGGGATTGCTTGCAAGACATTGTTGATATTACAGCTGCTCGAATGCTGAGAAAAAGGAGGACAGCATAAAACCGCTGAGGGCGGAAACTATAGCAATGCAGGGCTGTCAATCAACCCCCGTTGCCCGGCCCTATGCAATGTGATGTCACACTGCATGAGAATCAAAACGGCAGGCCTAGTGAGACTGACTTGGTTTAAAGAGGATTAAAAAATGAGGAGTGGGTGGATTTTTATCATTGTAGGGTGGTTGTGTTGTACACAGCCAACACACATTTATGTCCAAACACCATGTAAAAGTGGATTTTGCATTATAGGTGCCTTTTAAGTAAATTCTCCTTCTCACCAATTTCTGTATGTGCACAGTTTAACGTGCATTTTGGGAATGCAATATGTGCTAGGTTCACTTTATGTACACATTTGCACAATTTCCAACATTTCTGCGGATAGAATTTACAGCATTTCACCAGAATTCCGCCAAAATAAAAGCTTAAAGATCTGAATTTTTGAAAAATTTTAGGCAAAAATATTGGCATTATAACTTGCAGTGTAAAATACGGATCGGACCTATAATTATCAAATATTATTTTTTATTTTACAGGACAATTGTAATTTACAACAGTAATATATTTCTATCTTAATTTTTAGAGTTCAAAATTCAAAATAAAACACTAACTAAAGATGGATTATTTGTTTACTTGTGTGTCATGTGATCATAAACCAACATCAGAGATCCATAAGCTTGCGAATGTGATGATAAATCATTAAAATATTAACTTAAAATCTCAAGTAAATACAGGTGCATCTCAATAAATTAGAATGTCGTGGAAAAGTTCATTTCAGAAGTTCAGCTGCAAAATGTTTGGGAAGCCCTGGGATAGAGTAAATATGTGGACAGATGAATTATTTTGTAACTCTATTATTATTCTACAGCTTCACTGGGTTGCAGTGGAGCAGCGATGATGTTTACGCAGCTCCAGGTAGCTTTGTTGCTCCCTCTTGGATTAGACGTGCACACTTTTATGAAGTGAAGTGCTGCGTCACTAATATGGTTCAGAAGAGAGGCACAGGGTTCTTATACTTTTGATGTTAGAGTGAACAAGCATTAGGGGAAATAAAGCCGATAGCCAGGTTTGTTCTTTTTGCTTCATTATTTGGTTTTCTAATGTGAACTCCGGTGGTGCAGATACATCAAGTGAGATTGTTACGGGAAGTGCCGTGGGGCCTAAATTGGAATCTAGCCCATGTACCATGTGCCCGCCGTTCACAGAGCATGGGCTATTTTGCATTGCTATCACTATAGCAACCCTTGCAGCCACTTGGGAGTTCTGGGGGAGGACTGTTATACTAATGGACTGAAAATAAATCTCTAAATAAAATGCGTTTGCAAACCTCACTTACTCACTCGCTGGCTTGTAACCCCGACGTACCACAAATCATATTTCCATAATGTTCTCATGGCAGATATGGCTGTCTTTATGATAGGATAGAGTATTTTGGTAATATACTGGCACTTAAAATGAATTAATGGTGTTATGCATATGATATGCTTTTAAGTGTGTTTGTGTGTTTACACGCAGTCATCTGCTCTTGAAAGTACAGCCCTTGACTCCTAAACGAAGGTAAACAATCAGGATAAAAAGGGAAGGAATTACACAATGGTTTGTGGTAAAGCATCTGAATGAGTGAGGATGTAATGGATGGGGAGAAAAGGTACAAACGGGGTGAAAGACAGAAAGAAGGAGAGGTGAAAGAGAGGGAAGGCTCTAACTGGCTTGTGGTTCATCTTTCTGACAGAGTTCATCTCCCTCCATGGCACACAGCTGCAAGGACAGCATGATATATATGCAGTTCTCTTTTCGGTCAAGTGAACATTTCTTCTTTCGTCCCTGAAAATATGCATCAAATATAAAGCTCTAGTCTTGGCTACTCCTGACGTGTGTATTGTGTCCTTGGTCTGCCCTCCGTTTCTATTCTGTTCTCTATTATATTCTATAGCTGATAAAAAAAATTGCTTTAATTACGAAAAATGACTCGCGGTTCAGTGAAATAGTCAATTGTGAATGATCCATTCACTAAGTCTGATTCAAAGTGATAGATACACATGTCAAGAGGGAGTAGTGGGTTCGAAGTAGTTTCTTAAATCTTTTTGATCGACTCAATATAAAGAACCAGTTCATAACAATCATTATTCGCAAATCATTTTTCATGTTCGTTGCTGCTTGCAGCTAGGAAATGATAATATAAAAATGAGACTGGATGAAATGGCCACACAAAAAACTTCAATTTAACATGATAAATAGATTTTATAATTTTTGTACAATGTTATTTTTGTCGCATTTGTGAGTATTTTAGTTCTACTCTGGAGCCCCTGCGATATCTGAACACTGTTTGCAAAACTTTATGCTGCAGACTTCAAAAAGGTAACTGACAAATATTCTACAAATTAATTATATTAATTTATATGATTTAATTATAACATTCCATTGCATAAAAACTGCCAAAGTCTTCATAAGAAAAGACAGACACAAAATTGCTGACGTGTTCCTAACGTGAAGGTGAATTTGTACAGCGCTGATTTAAGGGTTGTAAAACTTTTTTTTTTTTTTTCCTTAAATGACAGAGACTAAATGTAAAAATGCATAGCTATTAGCAAGCAAACAAGTTCTTCGTGAAATTGAGTCTCTGTGTTATTTGACAGTTGGGTCTTGCTTTAAATGCACCACTGCTAAAATATTGAAGCCAGTCAACCTCTCTAATTGTCTACAGTTGTTGGATTACTTTTTGTTTAATCAACCATTCTGCTCCATTTGTACTCAGAGGAGTTTGAGGTCATAATTTTAACGATAAAAGACTGAAAAAATGCTACAACAGAAACCTGTTATTTGGTAAATGGTAAATTGCCTTAGTCTATGCAAAATTCTGTTAAATGAATAGTGAAAAAGAACAAATCATCTTTAATTTACAGTGAAAAACCGCAAATTGACATTTCTCAGAATTCTCTGACTGTCAGCTCACATTTGATGTTTTTTCAATTAAATAAATCTAAAGTGAAATCCAAGTGAAATTATTCACTTGCCAAAGCTGATTGGTTTCTTTTCATATCAGCAGCCAATGAACTTGCTGCTCAACATTCAAATACTCAGCTAGTGCTTGCTGTAGCAGTGGCAGCACATTTCAGAAACCCTCCACCTTCCCCAGGTCCACCTGTATAGATTTGCTGCAGGGTGATTTCATATATTTGCATTGTTTCATATAAGTTATTTGTACAGCAGCACTATTTCTAACATGCTCACAGCAGCATGTCTGTAGATGTATTGACAGTAGCAAGCCTCGGTACTTGCTCTGCTGGAGCAGCAGCAGCAGAGAGTTGTCATGACAGAATTATGATTCTTAATTTGTTTCTTATCATTTATTGTATGTCCATTGGGGCCTTATCTTACATTGTATGTTGTTAAATTAATGTTTATTGCATTATTTAAGTGTCACCTGTATGTTACTATAATGGTGTTTTGTATTTCTGTGTATGATACCTCACACCTTCTATATATTATTATTTGCATACAAGCTACTCATGATAAACTTTGATTCTTTATGTGGTCTTCTCAGTAACGCCTGTTTTTTATGGTGGTTATCACTATATTATAGATGTAAAATCAGATTTTAGCAAATTTTCTGTTAAATGTTGTTACTCTGTATTTTACAGTAAAGCACAGCTTCTGTTATTTTTTTTCTCAGTGTAGGGCCTTTTTCTCACTGACCAGCTAAATTATCAGTTTGTTCCCCATTTAATTTCATGGCTGGTACAGCAATCAGCTGGGATATTAGAGAGCTCATTTGTGGTTTTTAGTTCCTATGAGGAGAGCTGGCTGCACTCTCGTCCAGTCATCTGTATTCTGCTGCTTCGCTGTGTAGTTTGTTTACATGCAGTGTGGGTTGGTGGATTGCCATACTGATAGACTCTCAGCAGCTTGTGCAGGTGTTTTTCACACTTTCGTTCTTGTCCCCTCTCTCTCAGGTTCCATCATTAATGATGGACGCCCAGTTTTCCGAGTTCACACCTGACATCACTCCCATCATGCTCGCCGCCCACACAAACAACTATGAGATCATCAAACTCCTGGTCCAACGCAAAGTCACCATCCCTCGGCCGCACCAGATCCGCTGTGACTGTGTGGAGTGTGTGTCCAGCTCTGAGGTGGACAGCTTGCGTCACTCTCGGTCCCGTCTCAACATCTATAAAGCGCTCGCCAGCCCCTCTCTCATCGCGCTCTCCAGTGAAGATCCCATCCTAACCGCCTTCAGACTGGGCTGGGAACTGAAGGAGCTCAGTAAAGTGGAGAACGAGTTTCGACAAGAGTACGAGGAGCTTTCTCAACAGTGTAAGCTCTTTGCTAAAGACCTGCTTGACCAGGCACGTAGCTCCCGTGAGCTGGAGACCATCCTCAATCACCGTGATGACCAGAGCGAGGAGCTGGACCCGCGAGACTGCCGAGACTTGGCCAAACTCAAGCTGGCCATTAAATATCACCAGAAAGAGGTGAGGAGACTTCTTGTAGCTTCTTGAAAAATTAGCTATTGCTGGTCATTTCTATCCAGTCTAATGTCGAACATACAAATGAATTAGATGTTCACAAGGTTTTGTACAGTTTCTGTAAATTGATGCTTTTGGGAAAAGTGTGTATCACTGAGCGATTGGCTCTTTTTTGCAGTTGCATCACAGATTTCCCTTCAAAAACCAAAAGGAAAAAAGAAATAATCTGCAGAAAATAACGAAGCCTATATTTCCTTAATTCACATAATACATTTTTGTTTTCATTAAAATCAGCATAAAATAAAATCAAAACAAATATACCTCAATATAGTATAAATATCTTACATTAATTCTTGCTTTTATTTAAATGACAATTAACTTTTAAGTTTTTAACAAATTAACAAATTAAGTTATGTATGTAATGTCATTTAAATAATATATTCCTTTTTTACATTACAGTACTGAGAAGCTTTTTTCCCCCATAATGCTTATGAGAAATGGGGTGGGGGATGTGCTGAATTATCATAAAAATAGCTAAATTTAAATTATTAATTTTGAAAATGTAATTGTCCAATAATAGTCTTTATATTTAATATAATTTATTTTGTCTGATTTTGTGGTGAAATATGATCTGGACATGTTATTTGACAGATTTTGTGTGGTGCACCCAAATACACCAAGAAAAATATTTTTTGTACTTTATAAATTTGTAACTTATACATTTCTGTGGTATAAATATGCAGCATAAATGCATCAGTGTAGAAAATATAGGGTAAAGAGAGAAACTTTATGAATTTCTTTGTGTTGCAGAAGTCCACTCACTTTTTTTTTGCAATTTAATAGTATTCTGCAGAGCCTTGGAATATTTTAGAATGTGTTGTTCCAAACCTAAAGCAATAGGCAAAGTGCCTTTCTAGCTTTCTCTCTGAACTTTCTGATCCACAGGGGGATACAGTGTGTGCTGAAGACCAGAGGTTTGACGTGATTAGAAAGACAGGAGATAGAGACGATGATAAAGAAGCACTGGGCAGATGATAGACAGTTGCTCTGTTCCAAGACCTTGTGAGCTGCCACATTGCGTATTTGCCTAGGCAACTGCCTTCTAATTCAACATCCAAATAGTCTTGGATGAGATTTGAAACTCTTTAGGGAATATCGATCAATGCACCAAATAATAGTGGTTTGCAACTGAGTCTTGTCTGCCATCTTGGATTAATTAATTAATTTTTTTCACTGAGCTTGTCGCAGTGCATTACTGGATTGCATTCTCCAAAGATACATGATGTTGCCTTAGAATTTGGCTAAAAGAAGGCAGCATAATTAAGTTTTCAAGCCTACCTTTTGGAACAGCTTTCCTACTGGAAGCGCTCCAATGATGCTTTAAAATGCTACCTCCGTAGGCAGATCACTAGGTTTTGGGAAAAAAAGCAAGGGAGTGATGTGCTAGGTAGAATATTTGCAGCACTTTGTTGAAGCAGGCAGTGTATTTTAGCTGTACATTTGCAGGCTGCAAAGGAAGTACCATATATTGAGTTTGAGATCAACTTAAGCAGCTGCAACATATATTTTAAGACTTGCATTTGAATTAAATTTCTTTTAGCATTTTGATTTTGCTGCTGTACACTCTTAAAAATCAGCGATGCTTCACAGCGATGCCATAGAAGAACCATTTTTGGTTCCACAGAGAACCATTCAGTCAAAGGTTCTTTAAAGAACCATCTCTTTCTTACCTTTTTATAATCTGAAGAACCTTCTTCCACCACAAAGAACCTTTTGTGAAAAAGAAAGGTTCTTCAGATGTTAAAGGTTCTTTATGGAACCATTTAGACAAAAAGGTTATTCTATGGCATCGTGAAGCACCTTTATTTTTAAGAGTGTACAAACGAAAAATTGCTGCAAATAAGGCCATAATTATAAATGTAATTACAGAAATTAATTACAGATGTAATTACATGCAGGTATTTTAAAAATATAAGTACAATGTACAAACATGTATGTGCACAATAAGTGCATTGTACCAAATTATTAATTTAAATGTAAGTACATAGTTGTTAAGGCCACTTAATATAAAGTGGGTCCGAAAGTTCTTCTATGGCAGCGTAAAGCACCTTTATTTTTAAGAGTGTAAGTCATTGTAATACAATACGGTATCAGTGTCCAATTAGGTGTATATTACGGCCATTCGGCATGAAATGTACACTTTTTTAAAGAAAGGATGCATTAAATGGATAGCTGTGAAAACTTTTACATTGCTACAAAAAAAAATCTGTATATTCAACTTTCTATTAATCAAAGAATCCTGAAGAATCCAGCAGCACAACATTAATAATAAGAAGACACATTTCTTGAGCACAAAATCAGCATATTAGAATGTGACACTGAATACTGGAGTAATGATGCGGAAAATTCAGCTTTGCATCACAGAAATATTTTAATATTTTACAATTATTTTCATTTGTAATAATATTTCACAATATTACTGCTTTAGATGTGTTTTTGATCAAATTAATGCAGCTTTTGTGAGCATAAGAGACTTTTTACTAACCATAATTTTGAACAATAAGTTGCAACATGTAAGTTATCCTGGAAACAAACTGACACCCACTGGGTTACAGTGGGACTAAAGTTATAAAAGGAAACATGCAAGGTTAATCTGACTCTTACATTAAAGGTTATAAAGGTCTTCAATCAAACAATGTGAAAAGTACCAGCCATTACACTAAAACAAGGATAAAAACATTTTGATGGTGCATGGGAAACCACCTCGAGTTACATTTCCTTGATTTACACGCTTCCACGTAAATCAATTTTAAAAACCGTCTTTGGCTTTCCAGGGAGATTCCAGTGATCTTTTTCATTCTGAAACCCAAACGGTCTCTTGCAGAACTGACACATGCTCCAAACTGAGGATTTGAGAGCTTGTGTCAGTACGTCTCGTTTCTCTTCCTGTCAGTCAGAGGTGATGCTGGCCCTGACCTGCGAGACTGCGCTTCCAATTAGCTCTAATTGTTTTGTGTGCCTCAAGGAAAGCTGCTGTGAATACAGATCACAATGCTGTACGCGTACACACACGGGAAAGATGGTCAAGACAGATGTGGGGCTTTGAGCCAAGAGATGCTATACAATGGGAAAAGAGAGATGAAGACTATTATGAGCCCATTTAGTGTGCCTTTATATTTGTAGTGATTAAAGTTTTATAGAATGAGATTAAATATTGAGAAAAGGTTACCAGCGTTGTACTCCAGATTTCACACAGTAATTTGTCTTCATTTGATATGAGAATTAAATGAGTCAGAGAATATGATGCTGTAATACTAAACGTGGTTGAAAGGGCGAGGAGAGTGCAGAGAATCAAATACATCTGGAATAAAGCCACACAGGCTTTCTTGAAACATTACTCAGGGGCATTGTAGTGACAGATAATGCTGCTTATGGATTTCATTATACGCTCACAGGTCTCAGGAAGAGCCTTTGTGTTGCTTAGAGCTGTCTTTAAATGGGACCATACCGGTTCTGCTCTTTTGTTGTTGTTACTGCTGAAGGATTGTGTAACCTTGCACACAAACGTCAACAAGACATCTACTTGGTTTGAGGATTTTTCATCTTGAAGATATAATTATTGCTGATTCTTAGGCTTGGGAATTGGAACAATCTTCAAACATTATGTATCAGTGTTATTTAGTATTATTTAAATCCTATTATAGTGTTTATTACTAATTTGAAATGGCCTTTATTTTTTATATGATTAGTTTTTGTTTTAGTTTCCTTTTTAGTAATTTTTCATTATGTGCTTTTGTAATTTTTAGATTTTTATTTAATTATTTTTTAATATTTATATTACTTAAACTTATTTATTCTAGGTATTTGTCATGTATTAATATTTATTTTATTTTATTTGGTTTTATTTTTAGATTTTCATTTTTCATTTTAAGTTTAGTTTTTTTATATGAATTTTTATTTCTGTTTTAATTTGAGCAATTTTAGTGCGTCAACTCATTATATAACTTATTTAACTTATTTTATTTCAGTTATTTTCCAAGGCAACATTGATTGTACAGAATAGCTACTACTACTGTCAACTCAAGGTACTGTCAAATGTGCATTTTTAAGAGACAAATGTAATATTATTAATATTGCAGCCTGCACTGCAAACTGTGCTGAAGATGTGCATCATCAAAATCAGGGAACACAAACTTGTGACTGGAAAAGTGTAAAGAATTTAAAAACGTTAAGTGTTTGTCATGTTCTGACCATAAAGATTAGTTTAAAACCACAATTAATGGTCTGGTTTCTGCAACTTTCAATAAGGAGCAAAAGTCTGACTTTAAACCTGAAAGAAATAAAGATCTGAAATTTATCGTGATAATTGTCGATATCGACTGATATTAAAAATTTGGTCCATATCGCCCAGCCCTATTGTTAAATACAGTATACAACTTTGGTGTGTAACTCATTGTTTGTACTATGAACATGAATGATACCTTGAATTTTGCAATCAGGCTTACAATTTTTACCTGGCAGATGATTAAACTGGCAACAATCCCATAGGTGTAGATAACAGATACTATAGGACCCTTCTATCCTTCTTCTTATGTTGTTCCCTCATCATTCTTTTCTTCTCTTGTGCCTCTCCCCCTCACCTCCTGTACATCCATCATCTCTTCTTTTCTGTAATTTTGGAAAGTTGATTTACTGCAGGGGAACATCAGTGCAGTCAGCATCCCCCACCCCACATCTCGCTCACTCGCTTTTTGAATCGATAAGGATTACATACCCCATATACTCTGAGCATTTTGCTCAATAACCGCTGTGCTTCAATCTCCTTACCTCGCCTCTCATCTGAACTGCTGCTTGAATGCAGCGCTGTATTCATGTGCATTGATAGATGCAACTGCTGCTGATAGAACTGTAAGAAGTGGGCATTGGCCAGTGTTATTGAGTGGGACTTGAAAATGGTTGAGCGTTTCAGTGATTTACAGTCACCAAGAAATCAAAATGAACCACTC